AAGCTTACACGAGCCCAGAAGATACTCTAGAGATAGAAATAGCTCCGGAAATGGAGGGAGGGAGGGAGACAGGGAGGGAAGTCAGGAGGCCTGCCTTCAGTACTTGCTGGTTGTTAGTTGCTATATGAATTTATACACATCATTTCATCTCATGTTCTCCATAATTCTATGAGTCGGTAGTTGTTATCTACATTTTCTGTATGAAAGAAATGAAGTTCAGAGAAATCGAGCGGCATAGTAACCCAGATTAAACAGCTGGTAAGCAGTGGAGTGAGGCTTCAAACTCCGAGCGACCTGCCTGGATTGCTTTAAGGGCCTTGTACGTGACTTAAGAGTAAGGAAACAATCCTATTAATCCGAATTCGATTCCCCAATTTCTGGGTATGTTTGAGAAAAAGCCCTAGAATGGTGTTCTTAGAACAACAGATAGTCAGGAATGTCTTTAAGATATTGACGAGGAAGAAAGTTACAAAACAATGCCATCCTACAAAGAGCCAAGGGGGTTGGCTCTTTGTGACAGCACAAGGGGGTTGTGCTATCACCCCCCTGGTGAGACTTCTGCTCTGGGCAACTAAATTCCTAGTCTTCTTGGCGCTCCTCACTCTCGCAGTTAGAATATTGCAAACTGCCCCACAGCACTGCCTGTTTTCTCTTCTGGTTTTCTTTCTTCCTCAAGGGGCTCTATGACCAGTATAATTTTCCTAAGTGCATTTCTTTTATTTCTTCCAGGGAACCCTGATGACTTTCCCTCCTCCTGTGTAACAGTTCATTGACCCATTTAATTCATTCTCCAATAAAATACTCAGTGAGTTGAGTAGGAAAGTTATTTTATCTTCCTCAGAATCACATCATATTTCACACACACACACACACACACACACACACACACACACACACACACACAGATTCACATTCCAAATTGGGGAGCTCGGCCTTAATAAGAGCACTTATAAAAATGAGTATTGAATATTCCTGATTTGCAAAGACCTAGCTGTATTGTTATACGAATGCAAACAAACACTTACGCAAGGTTGTATTCACAGAACTGGAGTGTTTAGAAAGAGCCTCGCACTCATTGAATCTGTAAGACTACGAGCATGTTCGTTTCAGTTCCAGGAAGGTTAAGATAAGATGACAGAATGAGAGGAGGGTGAACTGAGGCCAGCATGCGTGGACAAATGCAAATATTTTATAGATATGTTTTTGGTCCAATGAATAGGTGTAGTAACTAGGTCTTATAGGTGATAATTAATTATAAGGAGACTGGTTTTCATTTGATTTAGAACATTTATTTTAACAGAGTTGTTTAAAATGGGTGGGTATGATAGTACTGAGTTCCCCATAAATCAAAGTAGTCAAGACAATAGATATACTATTTGACTTGGATGTTGAATATATCTGAGATTATTCCAATGTGGGAAGTCTCTTTTTTAAAAAAGATTTTATTTATTTATCTTTAGAGGGGAAGGGAAGGAGAGAGGGAGAGAAATATCAGTGTATGGTTACCTCTTGTGGGTCCCCTGCTGGGAACTGGCCTGCAACCCAGGCATGTGCCCTGACTGGGAATCGAACTGCAATCCTTTGGTTCTCAGGCCTGAGCTCAATCCACTGAGCCATACCAGCCAGGGCAAGGGAAGTCTCTGATTCTGCATTTTAAATGTCCTACTGAACAGTCCCAGAAAGCGGGGGGTGTGTGTGGGGGGGAAGGCATCACTAATTCAACTCTTTTTTTTCTAAGTATTTTCTTTTTTCAGTAAGAGATTGTGCCAGACTTTGGCAAGGAGGGGGACAGCGGCGGCGGTGACACGAACCAGAGTAAAGTATGCTGTGCTGCTCCCTCCCCGACTCCCCAAAGGAGATCACACATCAGTTTAGAAGAAAAGACTACAGGTGCATTACACACAAAGCAGTTAAATGAGAACTTAGAAATCAAACAGGAATAAAGACCATGAGGCAGGAAAATTTTAAAACTGATAAGTGATACAAACACTAAGTTCAGAGTCTAGAGGGATCATAGTAGTAGGCAAGTAGGATACATGGAAAAACCCTGACTACAGTTTGACCTTGAAATAACAAACCATCTCATACACTGAGTGAGTGCACTCAGCTTAAAGAGATTTTGCAGATCATGCTTGCAAAATTTTCTCTAAAGTAACCTCAATTGTGTGTGACTGTGTGTACATGTGTGAGTAAATTAATACATAAGCAAATGTAAATATATTTGTATAGAGATGTGTATTTGCATTTATGGATGAAAAAGATTTTTGAGAGTCTATATATGGCAATGTAACTTCTGGAAAAATTTCTAAGCCTCATTCCAGTACCATGGCAACCCTTAGACATTTATTCCTTCATATCTGTAGTGGAAGAAACAAGTACGTTCTTTCAAAACTTCGCACTGCTTCTCATTCCAAACAAATCAAGCAAAATGAACAATATTCACAAGAATAACAACAAAGTAAAAAAACAGCAAAGGAAAATCAGCCTTGTTCTCAGAGCATGCTTTGAGCACAGTCCGTTAAAAGATCGCTGGAGCAAAACTAAAGAGCGACGGAATTTACCTGCATCCAGAACCTTACAAGGAGCAGTTAAGAGCAGAAAAATAACAACTGAACAAGATGCTCAAGGCTTACTGAGGCCCTTCAATGTCATGCAGTAAAACTTTGGAGCTACTGCAGCCAGGGCCTAAGACACTCCCAGCAGGAGTGCATGCCCATCTCAGCCACTCATAAATACTTGGCGGAAAAAAAAAAACATCACTTTTTCCAAGCTTGGGAATAAGCACAATTGTGCTGAGAAAATAGAAAGATATGTCCTGCCCAAAGGCACTCAAATGAAATTTCTGAGGCCTGATCTGGCCTGACCAGGGGCCCTCACTGACTTCTGATTAAGGTCTGTCATACACAGGGCATCTCTGCAGTGTTCAAGTGTCCAGACGAGCAGCTTTAAGTGTGGGGAAAACTCTTAGGTCCCCAACACCTGTGCTGCACCTGTTAGGGATGCTGTTTTAAAAATGATCATTTTGTTTAGAGCTACTTTTGCCAGAAAACCTCTACATCTCCTCTTAACATAAACGTATTCAACTTAGAAGTGTCGACGAAAGAATATGCAAACCTATAGAAAAGTTTTAGAAGAGTGTTTTTGAACCAAATTTTTGAGGACACACCCAGAAGCCAGATCTCAGTGGATTGAAGAAATGTTCTGGAGAATGGCAGTTTTCCAGTTTCTTTTATGCATTTAGAACCAAAGGAGGAAACATGAGGAAGCCTCGTGAGGCCACTGGTGGTAGATGAAGGGGTTGGAGAAAGCCACGTGGGGAAATCTCTAGGGGTGGGTCGAAAGCGAAATAGAGAAGCACATACTTTGCTTGCTTTGGTGGGTACAGGATAGTTAACAAAGAACATCTACAGCACATGGAGATGGTATGTGGGGAACAAGACAGCAATGAGGGCTTCTCTGATCTCCCGCTCGGATGCCTGTGGTTGTGCCTTCAAGGGCTTTAGAAAAGAAAATTGCTCTGGCGTCGTTTCAAAGGTATGCTGTCCAAGACGCACAGAACTGTGGACAGGGCTCACTTTTAGGTAAAGACTGACCTTTGCTAAGGAAGCTCCAGGCCTGGGAGGAGACTCCCCTCAGGCCCCCCCACCAGTTAGGAATTTATAATCGAACCATCCTCTGTGGTTACTCTTGGTCACTGAGCTTGTCGGGGCTGCCATGTGGACCCCTGAGCATGTCAGTCTTATTACACAGGCCCTTTTTTGTTCACAGAAGTTTTAAATAGTCTTTGACCTTAATAATTAAAACAATAAAACAGGCGTGTGCTACTGATTGGTTGGTGGTAGTAGGAAAAGTTCAGACATGGAAAAGTCTAAATGGGAAATTAGAAGTTCATTAATAACTAAGAGGATTGGCTGTTAAGTGTAGAAATAAGGTCTTCTCACTGCGATGCTAGCTGTGATGCTGAAAGTTTTTGGCTTTGCGCCTGCAGCAAATCTGTGAGTCTCAGATTCCTTGTCCAGAAAATGGGCTGAATAATCTCAACTATGTACAGAGGGGTATGGTCAGGGTTACATGAGATAATGTATAATGTGTGGCTATATCCATAACCTGTGAAGAACTATGTGATGTATTCTTAGCACTGAAAGTGGTTAACAATAGGATTGCTTAAGTAGCATTTTGTACTTACATGTTACAGTTAGCTTAGCACTCATTTGAAGACAAGTCTAAATTGACATGAACAAAAAAACCTCAGAAAGAAAAATAGAGTTCCATGTGGGATTTATATCTGATATGGTTATATTAAACACTTTGGGACAATTCATTGTCTTTCTAGGATTTAAAAAAATGATCATTTCTCAACTCCATGTAGTGGATGGAGACATTTTTACCTTTTCTTTGGAGCTTGTGTCACCTGTGGTTTCCTGGAAGACAATGGGTTGATCTCTCAGCTCTCTGAGCAGCCTCTGAGAGTTGAAACAGTCTGGCTGGGGAGAGGCTCCGTTCTGCAGAAACCCCCTAATCCTCTGTTTACCACAACAGGAGTCTATTGCCATAGAAATGATAGCTGAGATCCCAGATTCAACATCACAGACTTCACAGCAGGGCCTTGTAAGAGGAGAAGCCAAGCTAACGAGAAGGAGCAGAGTATGTCAGAATAGAGCAGGCTGTCTGTTACCTTGAATGAAGGGTGATTATCAACGTTGAAGTAGAAATGCATGAATGAGCTATGTGGTCGGGTGTGCTGTAGTTTATTTTCTGTGTGCTACTGCCTGAGACTAAACACAGTCATTGGAAATTTTATATCATTTAATAGTTTGCTTTTAAAATGTCAGCAGTTTCCCTTGATTGCATTTGTTTCTTATTGAAATAAGAAACAAGCAGATTCTAATTAATTTTGTTGCACAACTGATATTTCTGTGCTCAAAGATTCCCCTTTTTCACGATGCCTTGTTTTCGTTTGTGTGTCTATTTTTTGTGTTTTGTCTTGTTTCTATTAACAGAAGAAAGTGAACCTGAGCAAGATAATAAAGGTATTATTTTTCTTTCTGCACTGCTTTTTAAATGTACGGTTCTATTCAATCGTTTATTTCTGCTGACTTTATAAACAATTCTGAGTGCCTTAGGGAGTGACAAAATAACAAACAATGTATGGGGAATATTAAGTCAGCATTTAACAGAGCGTTATTAGATGCCACTGCTTTATCATATTGTGCAATATACTTACTATTTTATTAGGAAAAGATTGAGTCAACAGAAATGTTTAAACTTGGAATTCCAAACTCTGAAAATGCAGACTGACATAAGTCAGCATGAGACTATAAATAGCACACTGATTGGAAGGAAAAGTAACCCTTTGACTAAAAGCCTTTTGGGGGAGGCAAGGTGTTACAATCTCTGAAGTGGGGAAGCGTGGAGGTGCCAGCTTAGGTTTGATCGTTATTATGACAAGAGGACAAGTATCATGCAAGTGCCCCAAACCAAACCAATCAAATTTAAATTAATTTTTAATCATACACACACACACACACACACACACACACACAGGAAAATGTCTAGTGGAAAATGGCTGAAAATTGAGTCTAGGAAAAAAACCCAATCGGTCAACAAGAGTTTTCGTTCTAAGAAAGCACTTTCCATCCTGATTAATATTCAAATTTTGTGCTGTTCTAACCTAAACTTTTATATTTTTTGGATGAAATGTGTAAGCTCTCATGTAATGTGGTTTGGCTCCAGGAATCACCTTTAGCTGGAATTATTGAAATGCCACCACCTTATCTTGGTAACTCAAATGAGGTATTTGAGATGCATTCCTATGTCTAAATACCAGGCTGCTTACAACTAAATTTAGATAAAAGCTTTTCACCTGCTCCTGTGTAATTTATTTTTCAGTTTAGTTCTGTTTGTGTTTGTTTTTTACTGCCACCAGCCATTTTTTTAATTTAAAGCAAGTAACCTTAAAACCCTCTTTTACGGAAAACTAGATAACAATAAAGAAAGAAAAGAACAAGAGAAAATACGATAAAATCCGTGTGAGCTCACTGTGTCCTCTGAGGTAATCACTCAAACAGAATTAATAAGGGACTTAAATAGTCCTGCTGTCTTACTTCCTTACCAAGAAAACAGAGGTAATTCATCTCAAGCCAAACTGTTCATTAATTTCAGGACTTAATTTGGATCCCCTGCCCACTGGGCTTCTATTACATTGCCAGTGTGATTTCAGAGTGAGGAATGGCTGTATCACCTTCTAACAAATTCAGATTACCCCTTACAGTGATCATCAATAATCAAACTTACATATTTGAAAGTGCTTTGAAAAATGGAGAGAGAGAAAGGGGGGGAGAGAGAGAGAGCGAGGAGAATATTTATGGTTATGTTACAAAGAGCTTTGGAATCACTGGCTGCTTCAGCCTAATTTTGAATATAAGATTCTCAACCTGTGGTTAGCACTGTAAACTAACCCAAAAAAATTAAGGCCCAAATGCATGACTAGATACCATGAGAGAAAACCCAGGGATGAATACGTTATCTGTGTCTACTCTCCATATTGCAGATGGACAAAGAAAGGCAAGTGGAAGAGAGCTCATAGTGACTTGGAGAATGATGGATTACACTTATTGAAAAAAGATTGCATAATTTTTTTCTTTAAAAATCCATAGTGAAACGATAGTAGACATTTTTATATTACTAAGTAATGTCAGGTTCCTTCTATTAAACAGCTTACTTATGTGACAAAAATATTTCTATATTGTTTTTCATGCAAATAAAACATAAATATGAATATTCAATGGACGTTTGACTTGATATGAACCATGTCACATTGCTTTTAAAGTTAATGACCTACAGTGTAATTTCAGCTGTGGTTGCCCCTAAAATAATGGGAGTTTATTATTGAACTATGACTACGTTTATTATTACAGGTGTATTATTATCCGTGGAGGTTAGTCTGGTGTTTATTTTTAATTGCAACTGGCTTTACTGTTTCAATGTTTGATCAATGTGGTGGAATTCTTTTTACCACCCCTTCACCTTTTATGCTTAGAACTGGTAACAAATACAGATGGGTATAAAAATAATCAGCATCATTGCTGATGAAACTGGACTGAAAAATAAAGCTTTCTATTCCTCCATGCAAGAATTAGACTAACATTACTTCTGTTCCTCATGCCCCTCAGCCCCTCCTCACTCTCCCACCTTCCACCCAGAGTTGTAGGATGGAGAAGCCCTGACCTGGGGAACTGTCTACTGCATGTTAACCCCATACCCTTATTGGTTGCAGGGGAGCTGGAAGACTGATGGCCAAGCAAGGGCTGAGCTATTCGTAACACGTGCAAGTCCCTTCTCCCATTTCACCAATCAGAGGAGTCACTCACTCACTCATTCATTCATTCATTCATTCATTCACTCATTCATTTAACAAATATGTATGAGTGCCAACCATATACCATGGAGGATTCTGGGTTATCTGTCTATTGATCAGCCTGTGTAAATGAACAAAGCAAGCTCTGCCCTTGTGATGCTTACATTCTGTGGGCAGAGACAGCCACCAAACGAACACATAAAACAAATAGTTAAGACAGGAGGCTAAATACTATGACCGAACATATGCAAAGGTAAGGCTAGGGGTCCAGAAAGCATTTTGATAAGGAGACATTCAAGTTGAAACTCCGTAGACATTTGCAACCTTCTCCGAGAGAGGGAAAGAGGCAGAAAGGGTGGACGCTATCTTTCAGGACTGGAAAAAGGGAGAATTTCTAGTTTATCTTTTGGCAAGAATGTGGGAGTACAGGAGTGACCAGCTTCCCTTTAATTCCTGATTTGTCCTTCTCCTAATTCACTTGATGTAACAATGAAACTTGGAGGGGGAGACCAGCAGTTTGTCAGCACGTTCAAGAAGCCACATGCCATGCCAACAGTGCTCCTTTCTGTACCTCCCATGCCCCGCTGGGCCTCTCAGAAGGTTCTGATGTGGGACAGAGCAGGATATTAATTAAATTAACTCTAAGCCCACACTGAACTCCAGAATGGTAATTGACTATTTTATTTACCATCTCCCATTATGCTTAGCTGTGTTGTGCAATATGGATCATCAGAGGTTTTGCAATGAACCCAAGTGATATTCCAAATAATGTAATACCAGCTAAAAGGGGGAAAAGGGGAACTGAAAATAACAACAAAATAAACCCTCCCTTATTACTAAATTTCCAGGAAGAATTTAAGGCCCCCAAATGAAAACTTTTGCCTTTATAAATTAAACAGAAATCAGATTTCATGAAAATGAAATCCAGATTTCATTGTTCCATAATTTCTTATTATTCTCATCTTTAGCCAGAAGGCTCTCATTTAAGTTCAAGGGGATAGTCAGTGTTATTTCAGCAGCTGCTATCTACACTTCTACAACACCTATGGGATTGAAATAACCCCATTCCTTGTCACTCAAGTATCCTGCTTTTTTTTTTTCAGATGCTCTGAGGCAATGAGATCTACAAAATAATTATTGTAGTAGTTGCATACTCAAAAAACTAAGACACACACAGAGAGCCCCAACATCTACAAGAGTTATTTCACCCAAAAGATGAATGTGGTGCAATCTAGGACTCCATTATTGTTACCAAAAAAACATTAGAAAAGACACGATTCCCTGGGTTCACCCTTGCTAGGATGCCAGTCAGTGTGTTTAGTTAGTGGTTCGCAACCTGTGAACTTGAGCTAAGCTGAGAGGAATCTCCCATCCGGGTACTCAGTTGGGTACCGTGTTGGTCACTCGGGGGGATGCACACTGCCTCCTCGCTGTCTTGCCTTCTTGAGAAATTTAGAATTTCCACTGGGATCAGCCTCTGTCATCTAATGTTGATGGACACTTTTTCAGATCCCTCCAGCATATTGGCAACGTTTTATTTACCATTTCCCTTTTGAGCCTTCTTGCTCTGGAACTTCAGTGGAGGTGCAGCCTTCACTCCCTCTTTCAAGAAAGCATTTTTAGCCCTGACTATCAGGGCTAGCTCCATCATTGGTGAATCAGAAGGCAGATGATAATTCAGCAACTCCTAGTTCAAAAATCACTAATACTTTCAAGATATAGACAAGAGAAAACTAAACCAAGCCTGGACTATCCAAGCACAGTGCCCTGTGTGACCACACAGGTCACTTGCTCTTGCAGCTGACCCTCTGACCTTGACAGTGGCTGCCACTCCTTTCTCTATGAAGTTTTTCAGGCTGCCAATATTGCCTGCAAGGGAAAATTTTCAGTCCCACGTTCTAGTTCACCTTAGAATCACCCCCCAAAAGTTTTGACCTAAAATTGTTGTGGATATTTCTGAAGTTCTTTGAACTGATACCTCTGCCAAATGTTTCTCCTCAAAAATGACAGTGACCAGAGGGAAGAGGGGAGGGAAGTTCAGGGGAGAGGGGGAAGGGTTTGCAGGAACAAGTATAAAGGACACATGGACAAAAACAAGGGAAGTGAAAATGGGAGGGAGGTGGGGAGAGCTGGGGGGTGGGCTGGGATGGGAGTAAAAGACAGAAAACTGTACTTGAACAACAATTTTTAAAAATGTAGCTTTCTTTAGGTGTTAAGTTTTCTAAAACTTATACTCTGTCCATGGCAGAAGTATGTGTTCCATCACCTGTTCCATCTCATTTTGGGGGTTCTGGTTTAGGTTCCATTACAACTTTTTAAAACTTGTGTTATTATAAAGTATTCAATCTTATGAAAAAGCTACATTATAGTAAATTCCTAAGTTCCTATTACCCAATAGCAAGAGTGATCAATAGTCTATCATTCTAGTTGCATCTATCCCACTACTATTTCATTGCTGCTGATTTATTTTAAAGCAAATCACAAAGACTAATTCAATCCGTCCATATGAACTATAATGTAGGGACTTTTGTTTAACATAATCACATTACCATCTTCATTACCCCACCCATTCCCAGTTAGTACTAATTTCTTAATGGCATTTATTGCCAGGACAATGCAATTTTTTTATCTTATTGTCTCAAAAAATATCTTTTTACATCTTAATTGTTGAAAATAATCCAAACAAGACCTATGTGTTATATTTTGGGTTATATCTCTTAAGTCTTTTTTTTATAAGGTTTTATTTATTTACCATTAGAGTGGAAGGGAAGGAGAGGGGGAGAGAAATGTCAATGTATGGTTGCCTCTAGTGTGTCCCCTGCTGGGAACTGGCCTGCAACCCAGGCATGTGCCTTGACTGGGAATTGAACCATGATCCTTTGATTCGCAAGCCCACACTCAATCCACTGAGCTATGCCAGCCAAGGCTTAAGTCTTTTTCAATCTATAGCAGTTCCCTCTTTTAATTTTTTTCCCCTAACATCACTCATTTGTTGAGGAGACTAAATAATTTGTTCTGGTGAACTGTCCATATTCTAGATTTGATTGAATTGTATCCCCACAGTATTATTTAACATGTTTGTCAACTCTATTTTGTGTAAGTTGATAATTAGACCCCAGGACTTACTTAAAATCAAGCTCCTTTGGCACAGGGGGAGGAAAGATTCAACTGCATTTTAAACATTTGATCCACTATTTAAAACCACTTGTTGCCTTGAGGTTGGCACCTTTCTTGCTTTTCCCTTCTGATTTTTGGGAAATCCAACATTTGTGTTTCTAGCATGCTGTTCTAGATTTCATCACTTAGAGTCCTCTATATCAAAAGATACGAAGTTGAATTAATCTGAACCTGCAAATCTGAAATTAGAATCTGCAGGAAGCATCCAGTTGTCAAACAAATTGTATCTCCATTTTTCTCTTTGAATTATGTAATTGTTTTTAAGAGGTATTCAAAAATTAGGCCAACTTCTAACACAGCTCTGAACTTGATCTATCCTTGTCCTGCTCATATCCTGTCTAGTGTATACTATCTCTTTCTGTACTTTCCCTTAGAAACCAAACTCCACAGATTTCAATTAACAAGCTTAACAAACTTTCAATTAACAAGCTTTCAATTAACAAGCTTTCAATTAATAAACTTTTAACTAAGCATTCAGTGGGGTTTCATACAACATGATGTTCTATACTTAAGTCCTTGTAAACAAAAGGCACAGGCATAACATTATATTTAGAGTGCAATAGGCAATTTAAAAGATTTCGTGTGGTTTAAAGAACACTGGATTTGAAGTCAAAAGACTTGAGTTCAGGTTTCTCAGCCATCAGTTTTATTAGAGCAGCTTCAGTTAACTGGGATTTAGATTCTACATCCATTTAATAACAGCAGGAATCCAGTGGATTTCTGAAGCTCTTACAAGTTTAGTGATTCTGTGATTCTAAGTCTCCTTCAGTTTATTGTTCATTCTGAGCCTCATCTCCACTCTTTAGTTACAGGTAAAATTTCTTCTCACATCAAAAGACCTTCCTTTTATCTAATCAGAGGGGGAATAAGCCTCAGAAAGGAATATAGATTACTTATTTCTCTGCTCACATTCTGCCTAAAATATTTTTTTTTTCTTTTCTGGCCCACTATGCTCATTTCAAACTGGAAAGTTTGACAGATTTTGTCTGCCCTCCCTGTATGATACAGTTGAAGGGGTACAATATTAATTAATTATTCATTAATTCAATTAAAATTATTACTTTGGTCAGGCACTCTTCTAGGTACTGATTGAAATAGGCAAGATTTTTGGTTGTTGAGAACTCATCATCTACTAGAGGGGATGACAGAAAAATAAAAATAAATTACAGATAGCGGTAAGGTCTATAAAGACAATAAAATAGGATGATGAAAAAATAAATGGGAAGAGGGTTGCACTTTATTTTGGTGGTCAAGGAGGGCCTTCCTGAGAAAATGACACTCAAACAGACTTGGATGGTACAAGGAACCCGCCCCATGAAGACATGGGGGATGAGTGCACCAGGCCGAAGGACAGCATCGGCATGCTCTGACACTGGGGACAAGCTGGGCACACCCCGCAGTGCTGAGAAATGTAGGGCCATAGTACAAGTGACTTAGAGGGTATTGCATTTGGTACCACCTTCACAGCACAGGGAACACAGGAGGATTGTACACAGGAGAACGAGATCCAATCTGCACTCTGGGAAGAGCAGACCAGCTTGACCTTTCCATACAGGAGCATCACTCACTACTTCTGTTTTCCTTACAGTTTTTGCAAGAATTCTGCGGGCTCCTGAATCCCACAATGTCACATTTGGCTCCTTTGTGACCCTGCGTTGTACAGCAATAGGCATCCCTGTCCCCACCATCACCTGGATTGAAAATGGAAATGCTGTGAGTGCCATCTATATGGGGACTTGTCTGGGGGAGACGCATGGGTGGTGAATTTCAGGACAGACCACACATTTGTCGAGTTTCCCTGATCTCGGTCATTGGTCCCACCCGCACCTCCATTTTTCAAAGCCTTCCAATATTTTCATCCTATAAGTCACTGACATAGAAATTGAACACCATAGATTTACTTCTTCCCTTTTATCATGGGTAATAGCAGAAAATCAACTGCTTTCTTTATGCCTTTGCACAAAAGGGATGTGTTAGCAATTCCTTTCCACACGAGTAAAACTATTTTCACAAAAGTCGTCATTTATAAATTGGTTCACTGCTGGGATCTACTTTGATAAAAATACTGCAGAATTAGAACCCATATCTGTCAGGTCAACATTATTTTCTTCATCTTTTATACTGGTTATAATAAATAAATTATACTGTGATTACTGTAAGTCAGGCCTTTTCTAAGCACTTCACATATAAGCATTCATTTATTTATTCTACATTTATGTATTGAGCACCTTCTGGGCATCTGGCACCATTCTAGATTCTAGGCATTGTGGATACAGGATCAAACAAAACAGAGAATGTTCCCTGCCCTCAAAAAGCTCACGTTCTGAAGGGGAAAGACAAGCTACAAAAGAAAACAAATAGGAGAATATACATTCTATGTGGATAGCGCCAAATGCTGTGGAGAAAAATAAAACAGGAAAATGAGACAGAAATTGCAGCCTTAAGAGAAAGATTCCATTTTCAATAGAGTGGTCAGGGAAGTCTTGTTCAGATGAAGACATCTGAGTTAAGACCTAAAGGAGCTGAAGGAAGATAATGGGGAAAATCTCTTGAGAAAGAAGTGCCTGCGGTATGCTAGAAGAACAGCAAGTACGTCAGCATGGCAAGAAGTGAGTGAGCAAAAAGAAAATAGGCAAAGGGTGTGTTTGGGGCTGTGGATTGTAGAGGCTTGTGTAGGTCGCTGTAACAACTTGGGCTTTTATTGGAGTTGGAGGTCTGTTCCTATTGTTTTCCTGCTGACTTTCGTTCATCGTGTTTTGTTTCCTTGTGTGCCTAGTTCTCTTTGACTACCTAGTGTTCATTATTTTGTAAAAAAAAATGTCAGGTTTCAGCTACTTAGTTGACATTAGTTTTTCTAGCAGTATAATCCCCTCTCTTTGTATCTTTCAGAAATTGCTGAAAATTTCTGGACCTTTGATTATGATACTTTTCCATCTGTCTGTGGATTTATTTTTCATGGTTGCAGATTTTACTTCTCTTTTGGGAGTTCAGGTGGCAAAAGAAGAGTTTAATGTGTAGGCTAAGATGATAATAGTAACTCAGGTGTTAAATAAGCATGATTTGCACGTAGTACAACCTTATCAAATACTTTCTCTGCCATTTTAAGTTCATTCAGCAGGGCAAGTTTTTTTTGGTCCACCATTGAGCCCTGCTTCAAATAGGCTGAGGGTTTTTCTTGTCACTTTTTGGCCATTTAAATCCACTAACCCTAACCCAATCTAGTCATTTTAAGTGTCTACCCCTAAGTAATAACCAGAGCCTCCAAGGGCATTTGCAGACGAGACCTCTCCCTTCCTCTCTCATGACTCTTGCAGGTGTGCCACCTGCCTTCCATACAGGTTTTTTGGTTGGCTTCTTAGCTCGTTCTCATTCATTCTTCCCTCACTTCCTGACTGCTATTTATGCACACATTTGCGGTGGGAAGAAAGGAGGGGTAGTCATTGGAGTGGAAAAGTTCAAATTTAACTGACTCTTTTAAGTTTGCTTTACAACCCTGTGCCTGACTAGTATTTAAAACTGACTCTTTGGAAACCAGGGAATATTCAGGATGCCACCAGTGACGCATTTTCCTCGGGATAGCTCTCTCTCTTTTATCCCCCAATTTGTTAGTTGACTGAAAGTCTCCCTGATGGTCCTTTTGGAAGAATTGGAAATGACTCCAGCTCAGATCTTCTATAAAACCTTTTTATCTACAAACTTTTGGGTCCAGACCATTGAACAGAGCTATTTCCTCTTTGCTCCGTCCATTGAAGTTGCTAAATAGCCTGACTCTGCTTCTTAGACTTTACAGGTGGGAATTAGACACGTGTCTGCTGCGGCAAAAAATAGGTGTGTCAGAGACCCCAAGGTCCCCTTCAAGCTTGGTGATTCACTAGAAAGACAGAACTGAGTTTACCGCAATGAAAGGACACAGCTAAAAATCAGAAAAGGGCAATCCATTGTCCTCTCCCAGTGGAGTTGCATGGAGAGAACTTAATGCCTCAGCAATGACATGCGACATGTACAGATGACTGTACAAGGGATCCTCACTCATGGTTTGGTGTCTAGTGTTTTTACTGAGACTTAGTTATACAGGCATGGACAGCCCACATGACTGATTTTAGCTGATCTCCAGACCCTCCAAAAGTCAGCCAGATACAGTGTGGCTTAAGGCCCCTGGGGAACAGAAAGAGATACTCAACAGAATTTACACTGTTAACATGAACACTCTTGCATGGCCGCAGATCTCAGGTACACAAAGACATGCTTATCGGGCAGGATAGTCCCAGGGATAAGATAATCTCTCAGGAGTCAGCCAAAGGCCAATTCTTTCTTTTGAAGGTGCAGTGTTTGAGCATCTCAATCCCACTGGTTAACCTTTACGACTCAGCAGGGGGCATGTATCAACTCTCTAGCTGGTGCTGTTCAGGACCTCTTTCACGTCTTAAGGGGATGGGGTTGCATGTTCGATCTGGTCCTTTGGGTGGGGTGAGGACAGCTCTCAGTGTAGCTGAACAACTTAAACCTTGGTCAGTTGTCTAAGGCAGGGTGTCAAACTTATATTCACCAGAGCCACATCAGCCTCATGGTTGCCTACAAAGGGCTGAATGTAGTTTAGGACTGTATAGATATAACTACTCCTTAGCTAGGGGCAAGGAGCTCAGCGCTGCCACTGGGTAGAAACAAGGTGCTGGGCTGGATAAAACAAGGTGGAGGGCCAGATTCAGACCTCAGGCCTTACGTTTGCCACCTTTGATCTAAGGGGTTCTCAGCTATTTTCATTTTTTGTGTTTTCAGGCATAGTCTCTGCCCAACTTTTTGGTATCTTGGCAGCAGCGTCCATATATTATCATATTATAATATATTAACAATAGCATTTTAAAGTCCAAGGAGTGTTCCAATGAGAAAAAAAAGAGAAAAAGGAGAGGAAAGGAAAGAGAAGAACTAGGACACTAGGCGTGGGGGCGGGGCAGGAAGGGTGAGGAAAACAAAGTGTGTCAGTGTGTCAAACTTGGGTAAATGTTTTACACCAGGAAAAATATCCCAAATTCTAAGGCTACCCCATCTAATGAAGAACGTCATCTTGCTGTAGCACCCTCTACATTTTATCACTTATTTATTCTTTGTTTTAACTATTGCTTCTATTAAACCTTTTTTTTTCTTTTCTGATACTTGGAAAAAACACTTTTCTCCTAATTTGTTATTAAAATTGGTTCATCTTATCTAATTGCTTACCATCCATCTTTTCAAAATAAAGTAAATAAATGAATGTCATTCTATAAGCTTATAACTTGAAGTATGCTAGATGAGAATTAGGTGAGGAATTAGAAGACCTAAGTTGTAAATGCTCCTCTCCAGCTAAGGTCATTTCAGGGGAGTCCATTTGCCTCTCAGACATTGGTTTTTCCCATATCTATAATGACAGACAAGTGACTGGGAAAGATGATCCTCAATGTGAGATCAGAGCTAAAGTGCTCAGTTTTGTTAAGTTATAATAAAGTAATTCAAAGTCCTGTTCTTTAGCTTTCTACTGAAATCTCAAGTGTCATTTAAAACTTGAATCTTGTTTGGCAATACTGTTTGTGGCTTTTCCCTGGAAGTTGCTGTAGTTGTCTTGAACCTCTGAAGCAGGGTGAAGACACTGTAAGAAAATGGGGTTGGGCTGAGGATATGACTTTACTGGTTTGTCTTACTCCATAAAAACAGTCATAAGGAAAAGATGTACGCTTTAAAAATATTCATTGTTTTTAGAGAGGCTCTATGTGTTTAGAACTGGGCAGTGTATGATTCCTTGGAGTGGGGAGCAATTAAAAAAGTTGGATGATTTGAGTTAGTTTTGGTCTTATTGAAACCCCAACTTAATCATTCAAGATGTGGTTCACAAAAAAGCAGGAGGCAAAATAGATTCATCGTCTCAGATTCTAAAAGAGGAATAAAACCAACTACTAGTGACTTTCTTCCTGGAAGAAGGCAAAGTACATCTGCAGTTCTTATGGTCAGAGAGAATGTGTGGCTCTCACAGCCAAGCTTTGCTCTTGGCGATACTCTCCAAGTCCAAATGGAAATCGAGATGACTTTGCCTGCACTGATGCAGATCACAGGAAATGGAGACAATTTCAAGCCTTAAATGTGGTACAAGTAGCAAACCTGAAAGTCTAATGAGGAGAACAGGGAAGAGCCCCCAGCCCTGATATCATTTTGGGTGGCCCGAACCAAGATGAATGCAGACCTGGGAGCTAGTTGGCACAGAATAAACAGAACAGAGTTGGAACTGTGGCTCTTCACCAACTGCAAGTCAGTGAACCAACTTCCCAACACACTAAGTGCAGCGGGTACTCTAACAGATGTGAATGCCCCTCTTATCTCCCTCTGTGGACACACCAATAGACTAACACACAACACAGTTAGAGCCAAAGAACAAGAGAAGACAAGCAACGTGCCCCAAAGTGACCGAGAATCATTTTGCTTGTTTTCCCCTCTGTGGATATGTCACTTACTTTTTATGAAAATCTGTAATCTTTTATGAACTTCAGAGTGAATGGTAATATTCCTCTTGTTTTACAACATTAGAAAGAGCAGTTTAATATGGAGGAGCAGGGCTTACTTTTCTAAAAGAAAATATCCATGTATTGTGATAACAAGATTTATTTACAGTTATACCTACACATCTCTATTATTTTACCATTCAATGAAAAATGCAGTAAAATTTTATGTCATCTTGTTCTGATTGATAAATATAACTCCTAAAATATTTTAAAAGTAGAATCATTTAAATTTATTAGGAGAATTTTATCAAATAAGTAGTCAAATCATCTGTGTTTTTAAATTTTTTTAAAGGGAAGTCACCTATATGTTTTACATATATTTTAAGTGGCAGTATTTTAGGTTCAAAGTACATGAGGTTTGAGGTCATCTTATCCTACTAGTTGTGTAAATCAAAATGACTACGTATATCAATTTTTTGTGGAATAATTTAGCAGCCAGGTGGAAACATTATGGAAATTTTTCTCAGTGTATTTTTTCCTTTTTCCAAAGATGCCCAGGCAGGCATTATTACGAGTCCTGGAACATGGACCCACTGGGCGACGCCCACCCTAACAGTTCCAGGAGGTGTGCCCAGCTAGCTGAAAGTATGTGCAGAACAAGGCCATGTACCTATGCCAAGGTCAAATAATAAAGAAGGTACAAGATTATCCAGCACTGGGGTTAGATTCTCTCAAAACAACAGTATTAGTCTTAATAATATATTAAATGATATAGTAAAAATATCCCACCAGTCTATACCCGTTTTGCCACCTTTGAAAAGGTTTCACACCCATATTCTCAGGCGTGAGCTATTATTCCTATTGAACAGAGCTTCCTGATTGTCTTCTTTTGAGGTCACTATCATGGAAAGGGAACATGATACACAGAGCAGAGAGCCGTTTATCCAGCTCCTTCAGGTCAGCATGCCTGGGTGACTTGGGGAAAATAGTGTATTTACTATAAACACCAGAGATAGTCACCTCAATCACAGTCTTGCTTTTACCCACTGCATACCTTAGTCCGAACTCACAGTAATAATCTGAACTCATCCCTTTGATCTTTCAAACCTGAAGGGCAAAAAGACTGAAATGGAGGGCCAAGGGTTGTTTTTACTTTGAGGTCATCAAAAATACTAAACTGTTGGTCAGGGAGACCCATAAAGAAAGAAAAACAGATTCAAACCATGACTAACGAGGCCTGCTGTGCATGAGTCACAAGCTGGACGGAGCCGACCCTGTGGAAACAGGAGGAACAGCATTTAGGAGCCGCATCACAGTCAGGCAATGAGCCTACCAACTTGGGGTATTCGCTGAACCGTTTCAACACCTGGGTGACGTCCAGGAGAGGGGAGCTCAGGCAGTTTAAAAATCACTTATTTTTCCTACCAAGAGTGTTTTTGGTGACCTTGAGAAGCTGTTTGGGGATGACTTTCTTAGGTGTGAACATGCAAATAGTTGGAGTTCAGGCAACACTGGGGGATGAGTCCTTTTGGGTCATTTCCAAAGCATTATACTTCTTGAAAGAGGGGGCTAATTTTGCAGAGGAAGGTAACTGTTCTACAGATTTCACTCCTACGAACTAGAAAGGGATTCTATTTACAGACAAAACATCCTCATAGCAGACAGCATGCTGATTGAGCATAGAGGTCTTTAGCTTTTTTTCTCATTATTGCTTTGTATTAAAATTCAGGGAGAATCCAAAGTTGTGTTTCAAATTGTTCAGTCCTTTTGATCTAACTTGGACAGTTAAATTTATAAGAAGTTGCACTTCTGATGAATACAATGATGAGTTGGATTTGAATTCCCAACTAAAGATATGTCTCTTAAAGATAATTTTCTCTCTGCCTTGTCCATTTCTCATAGCATCCAGGCTGCTTATCAGGGGAAAATGCCACAATACTTGACCTGGCCTGGGAAGTTTCCCCAGTTAGGTGAATCAGTGTTCACAGAAATCTTTTTTATCATAAGCATGGACACTAGTGATGCATGTAGAAGGGGAAAAACACAAAGCAGCTATAACTGGGCAAACTCGGTCTGTCCAATTGCTACAGAAAGTGTTTGGTTCCAGGGCCAGCCAGCTACCTGGCTGCAGCAGAAAGAAAGCTGGTCTCACCCAGGGCTTCCCTCCCTCATGCTAGTCTGTCTAACTGTGAAAATCCTCCCTCAGGCAAAACAGGAAAATAACTGCCTTCAAATTTCTCATTCCCAGCCTCACCCTCTTCTAGGGGACAGAGAGATCCCTACTGTGGCCAGAGGAACCCACCTCTACTCCTCTGAGATAATGTCAAAACAAACCAAGCTCTGATTCCCTCCCTCAAACTGGCATTCCCCCTTATACAAGCAGTGGCAAATAAGGGTAATTATTAAAAAGATAGCATAGTACTGAAGAGAAGAGTAAATCACCATTTGAAAAAATGCTGCCACGTTAATAATGATGTTTAAGTCAAACATTTGTTTTGTGCACCGGTTGGTTGATTTGTTGAGGCTATTGTTGTTACTATTCTTGTTTGCTAATGACTCTTCATTTATTCCCTCTTGCAGACCTGGGGAAGGCACCATGACAGTGATTTAAAAACACAGGATTGGGGTCAAACACACTAGGGTACAAATTCTAACTGTGAATGTGCTGGCAGCTGTCTGTATTGCAGAGCTAGCACGATGATGCTAATAAATAAACACTTGTGTATATCAACCCATCAATTACGTGCTAATATTGCAGCGATATCCTGCCTCTCCCAGCACATTTGATTTCCTGTTGTAAGTAGCATGGCGTGGCATATGTCATGTCTCAGAAACAGAATCAAGTTCACAATCGCTTTTCTTGGTGCCCATCCCCTTATCTGATGTGCATTTGTGGGCAACTGAACAGGAGTTAGGAAAATAAGTCCAAAAGTATACCACCTCTCATTCTTAACTATTTTCATCTTCAAAGGATACAGAATACCTCTTGGGGGATCCATGCAGTGTATCTTTCCTACGTGGCATAGTTATCTATTGCTATATCACCATCATCCCCAAACTGAGTGGTTTAAAACAATAACCATTTATTAATAATGCTCACGAGTCTGTGGGTCAAATGGATAGTTTTGTTGATTTGGACCAGGAGTGCCTGATCTTGGCTGATCTACTCTTGTAGATTGGCAGGGTAACTGAGTACCAGTTGGTCTAAAATGGTTTTATCATATGTCAAGTGATTGTTCTCAGCTCCAAGCTGGAACAGTGGGAAAACCTGGGCATTGTGTGCCTCATCCTCTGGCAGGCTAGCTCTGGCTTATTCACCAAAGGTGACAGGTACAATGAGCAACAAGATAGCAAGCCACAATGTGTAAGAACTGTACAAATCTCTGTGTCTTTTTAAGTCATGTCTCAGGCCAATCTAGGTTTAAAGCATGGAGAATGATGCTACCTTTTGAGAGAAGAGCTACAAAATCATACTACAAAGTCACGGGCATAGAGATGCAAAAATCTTTGGCTATTTTTGCAATCTACCATATGCCTTTTGATCATAATCTTAATCCTTTTTCTTTCGAGTCTACAGACTTAGCAAATTAGAAAATCCTTGAACTAATTCTATCCTTTTTTCCTCCCCACTCCACCAGGTTTCTTCTGGATCCATTCAAGAAAGTGTGAAAGACCGAGTGATTGACTCAAGACTGCAGCTGTTTATCACCAAGCCAGGACTCTACACGTGCATAGCTACCAATAAGCACGGAGAGAAATTCAGTACTGCAAAGGCCGCGGCCACTGTCAGTATAGCAGGTAGGATGGATCTTCACCATTGCATTGTTCCAGGAGAGAAGAGTTGGCACTAGTCTATGAATATCTCACACTGGGAAACACTATGTTTAATATCTTACTTCACCCCCCTTTGGCCTATTCTGTTCTTTCATGTGGACACTCCAGAGGTTGACCTAGACAATAGTTGATTGGCTGAATTATTGCCTCAAAAATGAAATCCTCAAATACTTACCCAAGTGATGAGTAACAGCTTCCAAAGGCTCATTTCTATTCCTTTCTCCCTCCCTGTCTCCCTTCCTCCCTTGTTTCCCCTTTTCATTCTTTTTCTTACTTTCCTTTTCTGTCTTCTCTCTCTCCTTCCTCCTCTCTCTTTTCTTTCTTTCTCTGGGTCAAACTTTCTGAAGCTCTCAAAGAGTAAGTTGGCAGGCATTTAATATGGTTGTGCCAATCTCTTCGTGCCTATTTTTGGAAGACATTGTTACTTAGGAGTATGGGATCTATCTCATAGTCTCTTCCTGTCCTGTTATATGCAAATTATAGCAGTACTTATAGGTGTTTCAAGGAAAAGAGCTGACACATGGAATCCTAGGATGTTTGTGTTGGGTTTTAAAGGTTTATTTTTAAAATGTAAATATCCCAAAGGCTTCTGAGAACATTTGTGGAATTCCTGGAGATGAAACTAATCCCTGTATCAGGAAGTGCCCAGCATGTTCTGTTCATTTCATGTGGACTGCCCAAGGGTCAGCGGAGAGATGCTTGTTCTCACATGTAAGCCAAGCATTGGGAGGACATGTGCCCAGTGCCAGCTTTCCACAGCCTGACATTTCTTACTACAGTGTCACTTCTTTGATCTGCCATGATGGGGAAATTTCCAGTAATGTTTGTGATCTTTATATGAGGGGAATTGAGACCACAGAAAACTATGCAGGGAGCGTTGGGCAAGGCTGGGCCTCTGGGCAAGCGCATGGAAGGAAGAGAACATTCCAAAATGACGGCTCCTTCTGCCTTCCCCGGGATTATATCTGTCTAGATCGTCTTGGGACATCGTATCAGTTATTCTAAAATGTCCACTGAAGGGAAGTCATTTCTGCCAGAGGAAATGGGTGAGAATTCTAAAAGTAAATACAACCCAGTTAGACATATGCTACGATTACTAGTTACATAGCACTTCACTGTGTGTAAAGTGCTTTTACATGCACCTACTACATACACTGGATTCAGACCACTGTGTTAGGTAAGGGGTGCAAACTTAATTAACAAATGGGATAATTAACAACAAAGTTCCTGCCTTTTGAGGATTTTCAGTCTGGAAAGGAAATCGATCAGCCATACACAGGGTGTGGCAGAAGTAACTCCTGCTTGAGTGTGGTTGGTAGGGTAATAATATGGGTGTAATAATTTATAGTTTTAATTTGAACATCTCACTTAAAATCTTATATGGTGTGAGTGTGATAGTGTTATGTTATAGAATTTCAAGCTTATGATTTTGTAATAAAAGGGGGTGTTATTTCTGCTGGACCCTGTATATTATGGCATAGACTATGTTCTATGTCAGAAGCATAAATGAAGTACAACGGCAGAAAAAGAAAAACTGTGCTTAAAGGAATGGATCAGGAGACATGAGCATGAGATGAGAAAGTGGAAGTGTATTCAGAAAACAGCAGGTCTAGAGCATTATGGGAACTGGGAATGATCAGAAGAATGTAGAAAAAAGGTTTGAAATGTGGGCTCCAGCCAGGTTATAAAGACCCTAAGTAGGTTGAATGTAGTCTTCAATCAATGGGAAGTCGTTTCATTATTTCAGAGGAGACAAGTGTTATGGTCAGATATATCCTTTATCAGACTAACAGATGTTGGGTGTCAAAAGTTTGGGAGGCATGGCAGGAAGTTAGGAGGCTATTCTAGGAGTCTGGAAAAGTCCTGAGGCATGAACAACAGCAGCAATGGTACAGAGAGAAGAGAAGAGAACCATGGGACCTATGAGGATAGAAATGATAAGTTCGGAAATGTTTGAATGTGGAAATATGGTAGAAAAATGAGTTAAGATATGTTTGAGATATTGAGGAAGGTGTCTTAAGAAAAACAATAAAGATAAAAACAAAACAAAACATAAGAACATGAGAAAGTTCAGGAGACAAAAATAATTAAAATTTTGATGCCTTTTAACTGCTTGATATCATTCTAGTCTCATTATCTTATGTTTTATTTGATATTTGATCAAGACCCAATATTAAAAAATATATATTTATGGCTATGTGTGTGTGGAGAGAGAGAGAAAATAAACTGATCTAATTAGTTTAATTTATACCTCCTCTGAGCAGAAGAAAATAAATAATATTGTTAATCTTAAGAGAGTCTCATTTCAGGTAATTAATAAGGTGTTCAAAGATCAATTGCCACCAGGGCTCTTTCTGCTCTTTTTTCTTCCATCCTTCTCCTAGATGGCAGGGGATTTGAATTCACATAGTTGTACCCTCTGGAACCACCCCATTGCTGTCCCAGTCTCTAGTATAGTCTACAGCTGGAACACTTATGACCTTCTTTCTGGGCTTGGTTAGAACCCAGAGGACCTCCCTGGCTGGCTCAGCCCCTTTGAGGCTCCTCCTGTGGCAGCACAGCTCTCTGCCTCTTAGTCAAATCCTTCTGAAAGCCCCTCTCTAGAGACTCTGCAGCTAGGCCACCCTGTCTCCCCCTACAGGGGGAGGCCTGTGGAATGCCAGATCAGCCCTTCTTATCCCTCGTGGGGCCAGGAGCAACTTCCGGACCACTTTCAAGTAACACAAAATCCAAGAGCGATTCATACCTAGCAACTCAGTCCTGCCGTCTACCCAACCACATCATGCTGCCATTTTTATACACCTGTGGCCCTCCCATGTCAGGGTAAGGGACCCCTATAGTATTTTTTTTTTTTTTTGCTTCTAAGGTCCCAGATTAAAAGTAGGAAAAATTCCCTATACTTTTGGCTTTTTCCTTAATTTATCAATATAGCTCTCTTCTAGGATTTTAGGCCAGAGAAAGGCAGTCTATAAAATATGTATCTAAATTATTAATTTTCCTACTTTCCTCCTTTTCACAACATACCAAGCCAGAGGGACTGTCCCCAGCAGTCCCCCACTAGTGCATCAACCTTCAGAGCCTACATGTCACAAGTACAAAGAAGGCAGTGGTGGGACTGATGAGGAGGAGAACCTAATAACATGAGCATATTTGCCCCACGAGGGCAGATTCATCACATGGATATGATTTCCTGATGCTGAAAGGACTGCAGAACCATATCATCTATAGCGACACTGCCCCTTCATCCCTGTCCTAGCCAAAATGAGAACCTGATCCAACTCTATTAATAAATGGCATACACTCACAGAGGAAGATGCAATCTCCTCCCAAAGAGCAGTATTTTCTGATGGTAGAAAGAACCCTAAGTTGTAGACACACAGCACAGAAAGGCAATGGCTCAGAGTGCAGGGCAGAGTGGTCAATGTTGAGAATAGACTGGAGTGAGGATGGGGGCAATCAGCAACAGATGTCCAGGAAAAATAGCAATAGAATACTTGTAGGGAAATGATGGTAGAAGCAAATGCATGGTTCGGCACATAGCAGCAAAGAGGCCTTGAAATATGCTGCTGCCACCAAGTTGAATTCAGATGAGAAGCAGTGACTTCATTAGGGCCAATTGAACCAGCAATGACTTGACTTTAGTCAATAAACCTAAAAATGCATGTTGAGCAGGTGTTAGGTACTGTACTTGAACCAATAAGTCTGAATCCTTCTGCACATGGTAAGAAAATAGTGAGATGAGTAAAGAGGAACTGCTTCAAGTTGCTAACTCATAAAAAGACCCGAGACCCTCTGTTCAGCCTCTGATGTGTTTTTCTGTTGTGTCTCACTGACCGTGAGGAGATATGAAACTCCCCTAATTTTCCTAAAATTTTCCCAGGAAGATCCAATGAGGGTGTCTCAGTGATAGAATGAAATAAGACCTCTGAACCCCATGAGACATCTGCCGTTTTCTCTTCATCACTTTGGCTTGTTCTTTTCAGTTAAATCTGCTAGAAGGTCCCTCTGCCATTGTTGAAGAAACTACCTTCCAGCTCTGGGGAGCTCCCTGGACCAATGCCCTTGAGAAGTGAAGCCACTCGGGTGAAAAACAAATCTGTTGGTTCACTCTAAATCAGAATCATTTCAAAGAGGCATGGTCTTATGCTCCCCAGATCTTCCAGAGCTTGGGTGTGGCACCTGCTTTCTCCATTTCTGCTTTCAGCCCCTCCCTCCTTTGGCCTCTGATGGGGCTGGCCCGCAGTCCAGAGCTCCGAGTCAGATATGGTGCCTCTCCTTGACACTCTGGCAAGGCTCTTTTATCCCAAACTCTTCTTTCTCTCATTTCAGTCAACTCCGCCCTCCCCTAGTGTTCTGTAGTCAACAGCCCCCTTTGTCACATTTGTTGTGTCTCACTTTGAAGCTTTTACTCTTTTACTCCATCTGTTTATTTACTCATCCCAGCAGGAAAAAACTGGAGATGGAAAAATCTGGTCTAGTGCTTAGGATTAGGTGTAATGATACTTCTAGTGTTTAAGGACAAGGAAAAAAAAAGTAAAGATCAGCCTTCGTTTTCCCAAAACTCTTCCATGTGTTTGCCCCAATCCATATGCATTGTTAGAGAAATGTGATATACTTCTTTCTGACTCATTTACATTTGCTGTTAGTCATCAAAAGGAGTCAGAGAAACTTTTGGAACCTCTTCCTACAGGCCAGGAAGTTGCATTTCCCCTCCAGTCACAACCCCAAAAGGTTCAAATTGCAATTTAAAGTAGCCAGGACACAGGATAGCTGGCAAGATGCCCTCTCTTTGTCATCAGAATTCTTGGCCCTGTGGCAGAGACCAGCAAGACAGCGGAGACAACCCATTATCCTTCTAATGAGCATAGTCCTGGAAGAGCCAGAGGCCATCAGAGTAGACACAGGTACCAGTATTCTGCCAAACATTTAAAAAAGAACTAACACCAATATTCTCAAGCTCTTCC